TCTTGACTTTCTCGTTCCAATGTACGGCTATTGGCGTTTTAGCTAGTTCTAAAGTATGCTTTTTGGCAATTTTAAATATAACTCTTGATTTTAATTAACAACATATAATTTAAAGGGTGCATTGCATTTCCGACATTTGATTTCAAATTAATGGTCCGTAGCAGTCCGGAAAACCAACAACTTCACATGTTTTTTATATAAACTTTGCATATATTTTAACATTGAAATTCAGATGACTTCCAGAGTCGCTAATTGGCAAAATCTCAAATTAAAAACACTATTGATGAGATCAAAAAAACTGCCAATGACATAAAAACGACTAACGCTAAAAACAATTAAGACATAGTAAATATATTATTCATAGCACTTATAATATCATAACCAAAATAAATTGCAAATAATATGACTAAATAATTAAAATATAAACAGTAAAACACTTAGAAAATCAAAAAACAACAACAATAGTTACAACAAACATTACGAACAAAACAAAAACAACAAAAAAACAACAGCAGCATAAAATGAAAAGCAAAAACAATAACAAATAAAGAAGAAAAATATATAATTTTACACGGTAGAATAAAACATATATAATAAATGGATAAAATGAAAATATCTTATAACTGTATAATAAAATTATATATCTATTTATAAATCTATTTAAAAAATAATTAATAACTAAAAAATAAAACAATAAATGACTAACAATAAATAGAAGCAAAACTCCACACGCTAAAAAACTATTGAAAAACATTAGTACAAGACCGCATAACAGCATAACTAAAAAAATAAATCGTAGTTAAAGAATCCTAAAAATTATATATGAAAGAAAACTAAAGAAATATATATAAAAATAAAATAATTTTGATTTGCCAATTTTTCTTTGATGTAGAAATAGTTACCATTTTCTTTATTTTCCATTCTTTTTATTTCATTCATCAACTTTTTATTTTTTTAACTTTTTTCATTAATTTATTATTTTCTTTCGAATATTTTTTCTTTTTTTCTTCTTTTAAAACATTTATTTCTTTTTTTTTTAGTTGATTTTATTTTTTGTTCAATTTATGTTTACAATGCTACCAGATTCACACGCGGAGGTGGTCTCACTTAGGTTGTGGCAGTTACCGATGCGGTCTGTTTTTGTTAGCATTACGTGCGAGCCAGGCAAATTGTCAATAAACGCAGTGTTAAGGCGGTTATTAACTCTCTTGTTAAAGAACATGACTTTACACTTGTCCTCGTTAAAATTCATGTTCCATGTGTGGACCTATTAAGTAAGGCTTTTTAATTTAGTAAAGATTTTTTCTCGAGAAGTTGGTAATCAGAGGTGTCTTTGATAACAGCTCTTAGTTCATATTACAGCATAGATCTTTGGTATTTACTATGGTAAATACGCTATCCTCAAAATAACTAGAGACAAAGGAACAAGGACGAAAAGAAAGGTTTTGATTGTATTCTCTTTTTTTCTGTTAATTTTGTTTCGTCTTAAAATGGAATGTTGTATTTTGTAACAAAAAATCACAATTTTGCAAATCCAAGATACTTAATATGGTAATTATTGACTATTTTCTCATGCCGCTACTACTGTGAGGAGAGGCGAGGAGAGTTAAAAATTAGTTGGCGTGTAAAGTATATTATTCGGGATCGTTATTTGTTTCGTATTGCGTTTTGTTAACCTTTTTTTGCAGTAGCAGCTAAAGATCCTTCGACATCAACAATGTTGATTGAATAAATTATGCAAGTTTTTTATCTATTAAAAAATATTTATTTATAAAGGGTTTATTCGTAAAGCTACCAGATTGGATTGTAACTTGAATTGTATACATGTCTACAGAAAAAATTTCAAAATACGTAAATTTTTCAACATTTTTATATCCCACAATGAGTCAAGTGATAACCGATTTGTTAGAAATTTCGTATAAACTTCAAAATTTAGTAATGGGTTTCAATACATAGATTTCTTTTATTAGTTGCTTTTTAATAATATCGGCGAGATCTGTTTTGTCTTCGTTAGTTTTGTTCTATATCGAGTGTTTGTTTAAAACAAATATCAATATGGTGCGCATTTTGCATCAATACTCAGCATTAACTGCGGCGATGACAGAGTCATAAGGTTTATATCTTTTCATGTTTTGTCAAAATACAATTCCTTGTGATAATAATAAATATCAAGTATTTGTAGTAATAAATCAATCACAAGTTGAGTATGTTGGAATGTATCAACTAATATCAATTTTTTAGAATAATTTATTAATGTGACTTTACTATTTTCGTTAAAATAAGCTCATGGTTACGAAAACTTTTCTATAAAAAATTTAATCTCGTTTTTCTGAAGAGAGTTTTTAAATTGCAATCTTTTATGTTTGGATAGTATTTTGCTTTTAATTATTTTTAGAGCGTTAAATGGAGTCTAAACTTCTTTAATCTATATTATTATATTGTTTTTATCAGTTTCTTTTCGTCTATTTATACTTGGTATAAAAAATTTAATTTGCAATATTTGCCGCATGGGTTGTCGTTAAGAAGTTTTATTTGATTTTTATCATCGTTATTGTAATTTATATTGTCTTACTCTTCTTCGTTTCCCACTTCCACTTTATCTTGCTCGTAAGCAATTTGTTAAAATTTAAGAAAATAATTTTTTAAAATTTTGCTTTAACAAGCTTTAACGAGCGAAAACGTTTGAAAGCTGATTGCTTTTTTTGATATCGCTCATTATGGTTAACGCTCATTGTTTTGTAACCAAAATCCAATTCTCCTTGAGAATCAACAAGGATAAATGCTTTTTGCTCTTTAAAGTGAATAAAGTCATGTGTTCGCATTTGCTTGATGTTTCTTTATAAAAAAAAACAGTGAGAATATAATTTTTAACAGACGAATAAACTATTTATAAGAAGAATCTATAAACATTTTCATTAAAACTATTAGTTTCAAAAAGCATTATACAAAAGGTTTCTTCTAATAATCTTTAAATTACGTTATTTTCGAAATAAGTAGAAAACATCTATATGCATTTTGTTAAAGGATTAAAGTCATAAAACCTAAGTTCATTGAATACTTTTAAAAGCAAAAAATTATGTTTTTAAAATAAAATGTCAAAAGTAATAAAAAAATTAAACACAAAAGTAGATAAATAAAAAGCACATGTAAGATAAATATAAAAACAAAAACAAAATCATAGTAAACTATTTAAATTGCATTGACTATTAAATATTCGATAATACCCAGCTAGCACACATACGTTGTTAAAATATTAGAACAATGTCGCCCGTTTTGATGTATTTACATACAATGGATTAACATTGATTTATATACATTGAATCAACGTCGAAATTTATACATCGGATCAACGTTGGGTTTTAGATCATAAAAAAAATCAACTTTTTGCGATGTTTTTACATTCATTAGAATTTTTTTGCTGATAATAATAACCACTAAGAAAAAACAAAAATAAAAACAACACAAATTATTTTAACTAATATTATTGCTTTCTGTCCAAGTTTACTTTAATTTTTTATGGAGCTATTAAATTCAAAACAATTTTTTCGCAACGCATTTAATATAACTTGCGCAAACAGTCGTGATCACGTTCTCTAATTTGAAAAACGTTTTCGTGGTCGTACGAGACGAAAAACCGCACGCCTTTCCTCGGAAGGCTTGCAAAGCTGTCGGAGAGTTTTTGCGACCCATGGTTATTAATAAAGCAAAGAATCTTTACCAGGGTTGGATTCAATGTGGACCACCTGGAAGTGTTTACGACATAACTTAATTATTGAAATAATTTGTTTTATTTTGTTTATTTTGAGGTTATTGTATGGCTGATTAAGAAATCTTGTAGAAATATGGAAAAATAAGTCTTTCTATTGAATATGGAACAATCCCATGTGATTATTTATTTAAGATAAATTATATGTTGTTGCTTTGAGTACAAGTTGTTAATGTAAAGTCTTTGATTTTAAGCAGACAAATACAAATTTGTTTAAAAATATTTTTTTAATAGCTATAATAACAAAAGTTATATATCAACAATAAAAGTATACATGTTTCACATTTTAGAAAGCGTTTCTGAAGGTGAACTTGTTGAACTTGAGCTTTATCAGTCGGTGAACTTCTGAATGTGATCACAGTTATTGATTGTCAATGATTGAGGCAAATGAAGACACTTAAGATGACTAAAGTTGATAGAAATGAAAAATGATATTTATAAAACTGGTTACGTGATACTGATAAACCTGGTAAGTCTCTACATAGTTTTAAAATAAATTGTTTTTTAAACGATCAAATTTTTTTCATAGGTTTTTTATACATTTTCCTTTACTTCTGCCATCAATAGAGAAAGGTTTTATTTGATATATTTGTTTGGTGTAGTTTTAAAATATATATTTATGTTAAATAATATTTTGATTTTTTATTGTTATTACTATTATTTCTTTAGTTAATTTTTTTTTTAAATTGCTTATTGACCTCTTTTTAAATTTTTAGAAGCTTTAGATGACGATTTAATGTTTAGTAAGTTGCTTTTTTTTATTTGTTTAGTAATTCGATTTTAGTCGTCTTTATTTGTTCATTAAGTCGCCAATTTTGTTTTTTGTTATTTGTTAAGTTTTTTCGTTTGTTTGCTTTCCATATACTTTACTCTTTGCTTTTAGTGAAACCACATTTTTTTAAGTTAACTGAATTTTTTCTTATTTTTAATACTGAACTTTTTTTATTTAGTGGTGCAACCACAACCTGGTAAGAATTTTTTCTATACTTCTTAATAACCCCTTAAACCTACAAACAACCTAATTTGTATTTGTTGTGCCATTAATAATATTTTTTTCTCTTTCTTAATTATTTTAATCTGTTTTTTTTTTCTAAGCAGATGCACAACAACCACATTCTGGTAAGAAGGAAACTTTTTGTTTATATCTTTTTTTAAAAATTTCCTAATATTTTGTTGTTTTCTTTTTCCTTACTAATGTATTTTTTTAAATCTGTATTTATATTTTTTCTAGAACCGCAACAATAACTATCAACCAGGTGAGATTTTTTTTTCAATGTATTTAAAGTCTCTTTTTATAAAAATTTTAAAAAAGATTTATATTTAAAAAAAAATATTATGAGTGTTTATTTAATTACTACACATTTTTTAATTTGTAGTGCAACAACAACCTGGTAAGAAATTAATTTCATACGTTTTTAAATCTTCATAATAATTTGTATTTCTTTAATATTGTATATTTTTTTAAATCTGTATTAACTTTTTTAGAAAAATAACAACAACCACAATCAGGTAAAAAGAACTCAATTTTTTGTTCAGTGTTTAGTTGATAACAGTTAGTTTTCTATTTACTTAAAATTTATAATTTTAAAATTTTTGTAGTGAGCTTTCAATCAAATGTTTTGTAAGTTTTGATTTTTAAATTTTTTTTAAATTATTACTTATTAAAGTTTATAATTTAATTTAATTATTTTTGATTGTGTCATAATCAATAGCTCATGTTATTTTAGTGCAATCTATGGAAGAAATGTGTAAGATTTTAGATTGTATTGATTATTAAACTTTTTATTTGTCACTGTAATACTTTGTAATATTTGTCACTGTAATACACTGTAATACTGTAATAAGTTTTTAAAATATCACTTTACATAGAAAATGTTAATAAAATTGTTTCTTCACTTTAGTTAATAATTTTTTAAGGAAGATGGAGGAGCAATCCTGTATGAAAATATCTTTAACTTTATAAATTTATAACTTGGTCCTTTCAAAAAAATTATTGATTATACACATACATATGGTGGTGGTATACACATCACCATATTATGTAAACATATAGTTTCATTTAAACATATTAAAGAATTTAGCTTCTTTTTTATTGTAAAGTTTCTTATGAATTATGAAATCATAGATTTTTCGATTATAAATAGCCCGAACACCATCATTGTCTATGGCAGCAGCTGCCACAACTCTTGGTAAATAAACAGCTTATTTTAAATTATAACTATAATAATAATAAATTATTGTTAATATTTTATTTAGTAAATTTATTTTCATACTTTATCAGCAACAATAACAACAACAACATCATCTGATACAAGTGCAGCTGCTGCTGGTATGTCAATTTCGAGTTTAAAATTTCATTAGTATGAATACTGTGTTAATATTATGTAACTGTGTAAAATGTGATGTTTACTTATTTTTTTAAATTCTTAATTTCTTTTTTATCTTTAAAATATTGTATAAGAATCAAATTTGTTTCTTTAATATTGTATAAGATTCATTTTGTTACTTTTATCATTTTAGATTTGTCATATGAGGCTTTTATAGCCTACAGGAGGATTCACCCTGGACCCATATCCTACGGGGCCCATTGGATATGGGTCTCAAGTGATGGGGCAGCTCTCCCCTCTTTTCGTTGGGGGAGAAGAAGAAGATGTGGGAGGGGGTGGGAGGGATGGAAGGGGGGTGGGAGGGATAGGAGGGGGGTGGGAGGGATAGGAGGGGGTGGGAGGGATGGAGGGGGTGGTATTACTTATAATTATAATTATAATTAAAAGAGATATTCCAATTGAATAAAATTTTACAAAAACACTGTTGTATTTCTTTACCCTTCTTAAGATAAATATTGCCAATGTTGGAAATAATTTTAAACAATAAAGGCGTTTATGACTTTTTTACTTAACATATGGGTGCCTTACAGTAAAAAGTACCAATCTTCGGAGTTACTGATAAAGTTGTATAGAGTCAGGAATAAGTCACTTGATAGCTTGATAGCTTCATTTTTAAAAGTTCTACATTGTTTTTCATGAAAGTATTTTAATAATGAAATAACAGTAAAAAGACTTTAAAATTTGACATAATTTAAAACTGTGTAAATTAACATAGTAATAAAGTTGATGTATATTTTCATAATTTATTTGAAAAACTATTACTAAATAATAAAACTGCTTGAAAAAAGAAAAAAAAGGTAGTTGCAACGCGTATACCTCCGAATCTAAAAATCTACGACTTGGTTCCTTTTCCCAATATACCTTGGTACTTTTTCCCAGTATTTTTTCTTCTTTTGAATTTTAAAATTTATAATTATTTTACAATCTAAGTTTTTAAAAGAACTCTTATGCCGTAAAATTTAATTTTGCAACAAAGTTTCTTTTTAATCAATGTTACACATGTTTTTAAGCTTATAGTTAACATTTTTTATATTGTTATTAAATTTTCTATCAATCTTACCAATATTTTTATACAGTTACCAATATCTTTATATAGTTTACCAATATCTTTAGATACCAATATCTTTATACAGTTATCAATATCTATCAATATATAGTTTATTGCTCTATTATTGTATATATATATATATATATATATATATATATATATATATATATATATATATATATATATATATATATATATATATATATATTAGGATGGTGCACAAATATATTGACAATTTCAAAAGTTTCAAAAATCAATGTGGTACTTTTTCCTATTGTTCCTTTTATCATTATATTAATTCCTGCAAAATTTAAGCAAATTTGAATGACTTTTAGAGGTCGCTCACGGCCATGTTTCCTCTTTTAATTGCCATTATTTTCCTATTCTAACGTTACTGTGAAGTTTTTAATATGTACATTTGTTTATTTATTTTATTATGACATAACTCTTAATTTGATTTAATTTAATTAATTATGATAACTATTTTATTCGATTTTAAATATTTTTTAAATATATTTTTCTAATTTAATAGTGTGCAACTATCTTTGACAATAAACCGCAAAGCATTTTAATTTTTTTTTACATGAGTGCTGATTTGAGGCTTTAAAAAAATAAATTTAATTTGTGATAACAATTGTTTTACTCAGGTTAGATTTTGATCAGAAATATCCTGTAATATGAATTCTCAGTTCCCTTTCCCTTCGTTTTCGAAAAAAATTGAAACTCGAACAACTACTGACATTTATCTTGTTGGGTCTGTTTCTCCAAATATTTCTGGGATGAAGCTTCCAACATGTCGTCAAGTTCTTGCAGTATTTTTTCATCTTCACAAAATAGAAAAACAAACCGTTAGACAAAGTGCAAGGTGTGTCATTCGAGAAGTATTTCATTTGTGGAATATGGCAAGAATTCCAACAACTATTGAACGTAATGCAATTGAAAAACTTTTTTTACAAATGGGCTAAAATAAAGAAAAACATGAAACGAGCTTCGGCAACACAAACAGCAAATGAAAATGTTTTTGTGAAGAAATTGAACGCATTTTTGATATAGCACATGCTGATGCCATGAGTTTGATTGCAATTGAAGAAGACAGACTATTTCGAATAGATCAGTGAGGTGAACGTAAGGGATACATGGCCGGAGTTAACATGGCATTGGCAAAAACAGAAGAACGTGTCCAGAAAAGAAAAGAATTAAAAGAGTCCAGACGTTTTCAGGAAAAAAAAGCAAAAAAAAGAAGCTGAAAATACAAGTCACATTGATTCAATGCACCTATCTGACAAGTCTACATCTGGCACTGAAACCTCAGATGAAGAATTTATGAAACCAAAGAAATCTAATCAAAATGTTGTAAAAAAGCGATCGCGATCTCAAAATATCATTTCACCTGAGTTAGCATCTGCTCTTGACCGAACCAACGTCACGGATCGCCAAACGACTTATTTACTGGCAGCTGCAGCAAAAGGTTAAGGTCATGACATTACAGATTTTGCTATTAGTCGCGATACGATCCGGAGAGCTAGAATTACTAATCGAAACAAAATTGCTACAACCATAAAGTTTGCATTCAACTCGTCAAATGTTCCATTGACTGTTCATTTTGATGGCAAAATATTGCCAAATATTACTGGAAGAGATTCAGTTGATCGATTAGCTGTTGTTGTTACAGGTTACAACGTTGACCAGCTTCTTGGCATTCCAAAGTTAGCGAGGGGTACTGGTAAAGCAATAAGTGAAGCTGTTATAACAACTTTACTAGATTGGGACATTCAAGACCGAGTTAAAGCAATTAGTTTTGATACAACGGCTGCCAACACTGGTACCGAAGCTGGAGCGTGTACTTTAATTGAAAAAAAAGCTTAATAGAGAGCTATTACACTTGGCATGCCCTCATCATATGTATGAAATCGTCTTGAGTGATGTTTTTAAGCATTCTCTTGGGCAATCCAGTGGTCCTGAAATAGGATTTTTTAAACGTTTTCGTGACAAGTGGTCATTAATTGACAAAAATAATTATGAAACAGCGTTAAATGATCAAACATGTTCGGACATTTTGGCTTCTCACACCATACTCAAACAGGATGCACTATTTTATTTGAAAACAATTCTTGAATCTGGTAAACAATATCGAGATGACTGCAAGGAATTGTTGGAACTAACTTTGTTGTTTCTTGGTGATGTTCCTCCTCGGGGGCTCATGTAATGGCTCCCGGAGCCATACACAGAGGAAGGTGGATGGCCAAAATTTTATATTCAATGAAAATATGGATGTTCAAAAGGCAGTTCAAATTAACGGCAAAAGAAGAAAAATCACTTCGAGGTATTAGCTTGTTTGCTAGTTTGGTGTACACCAAATTTTGGATATCATGTACCAATCCAACACTTGCTTCGTCGAATGATCTCACTTTCTTGAAGACTGTTTTTCAACATAAAGCCGTTAACAATGGAATTTTTACAGCTGCAGCAACAGCATTTTCGAGGCATTTATGGTATCTAAGTGAAAAAATGGTAGCATTGGCTTTTTTTGATAAGGAGATCAGCAAGGAAACAAAAGCAAAAATGGTTTTGGCTCTACAAAATGCTGGAGAGGATGAACCACAGAAAAGAATAAAAATCGATTTAACTTCAATTGAAAATCTGCAAATAGAAAGTTTTGAAACAGAGAATACCTTAAATTTTTTCAACATTTTGGAATTACCAACTACTTTTTTGACAACTGTTGATCCTGACAAGTGGACCGAAAATGAAGAGTTTCAACAGGCAAAAAAAACTGTAAAAAGTCTACGAGTTGTTAATTATACGGCTGAAAGAGGAGTAAAACTAATTCAGGATTATAATTGTTCAATCACCAAAAATGAAGAACAAAAGCAATTCTTGTTGCAGGTAGTCTCTGAACACAGGTCAAAGTTTCCTCTGCCATAGAAATCTTTGTTGATCAATGGAATCAAGTCATCAAAAAACGATGGAAACAAAAACCAATGAATTTTTTTTCATAGATTACAATAATTTTTTGCAAAGCAGCTGAAATATAAATGAAACCTAAAACTCTAACAATTTTTAAGATTTTTTGGAACTATTATTGTTTTTTAAATTTGTCTTTACTATAGTGAATACAAATACGTTATGATAAACCAGAAGTTTATGACTTTAGTTTTCAATTATTTTATTTGTAAACAATAATATATATAATTCAGTTTAAAAAATACTGCATAGTTTTGGATTAATATACAGTAAGAATTAAAATGCAATGTTGTATCATAATTTATTCAAAATTTGGGATTGCACACTAAAAGAGAACTCAAACCCAAAAAGTAAAAAACTTGATGTTGATGAGCAACCTTTAAAAATTATTCAATCATGCCCAAACTTCACGATTGTTATTCCTACACATAATGTCACATAAAGAAATGGTGCCATCAAAGAAATTTAATAAAAATTTTTTTTGCACCACCCTAATATATATATATATATATATATATATATAATATATATATATATATATATATATATATATATATATATATATATATATACACATACTATACAATGTCTATGTTATTCGATTTAGATATTAAAAAAAAGTATTCAAAATATTGAAGGTATCGGCAAATGGTTGATATGGTGTAACATGTTCATCAATTTTTGTTTGCAAAAGTTGGCATGCCTTTGTTTTTTATTTACAAAATAGTTTTCACTCTTTAATATTCAGTTTTAGATTTTTTTAAACTACCAAAACTTTTTTTCCTATTTTTTTAAAAATGTTAAATTTGTTTTACTACTTACAATACAACATGTAGTATTTAAACCTAATCTCAGCTTCTATGTTTATTTCTTTTTTAAACCAGTTAAGTATATATATATATATATATATATATATTATATATATATATATATATATATATATATATATATATATATATATATCGTGACATAAGACCAGTATTGTTGTACTGCCATCTTCACAGCCAATAAAATTAATTAGATATTCAAATAGTAAAAATTTATCCGTGTATTTAAAATATTTTATTATAACAATTTTATTAAAGCTATTATTCACAAGCAAAAAACTGCATTTTAAGTAATTTATTAGTAATAACAATAAGTATTCGAAACTAAAGAATCGACGTTAAATCAACGATGAAAATCACTACTTATTTACAAGTGACAAATCGCCACTCAATCACTAGTGATAAAAAGTTTACAGGATCAGCATTCAATAAGTACTAAATCACCACTTACGATAAGTATTAAATCACTACTCAATCACCAGTAAATCACTGGTGTATCAGTGCTAAATCCGCGGTGATAATCACTACTTAATCACTCGTGACAAATCGCCACTCAATCACTAGTGATAAAAGGTTTACAGAATCACCATTTAATAAGTACTAATTCACTACTTACGATAAGTATTGAATCACTACTAAATCACCAGTGATGCGCGCATAGGGTAGGTTTAAATTTAAAAATATTTTAAATTGTATCTGAACCAGTTTTACAGCTCTCTCGCTTCAATTATTAACTACTTCCAGATTTTTGACAAATTGTTTAAACCAGATGATGATCATTCAGGTTCCATGTCTCAAGTAGGGTATTTAACCACTGTAAATCTGCCTTAAAGTCCAGTTTGCTTAACAATTCAAAATCCACCTGCTGTCAGTGTACAACATAATTCTCAGGCCAAGGTATGGAATACATCTTCCTGGCAAGCTTGTCACAGTTCTGGACCTCTTCATCAGCTAAACCCATTAGAACAGCGGTAGGATCAATGTACCAGGTGTGTCTTTTCAGTGAGTCAATAACAGGTTTTGCCAGCTCAGAGTAATCTTATCATCTGCAACAGCGTTTTTTTATCCTCAGCAATAATCTTTAAAAAAATCTAAAAAAATAATTTTTTTAAATGTTTATTACATTTTAAATGTTAAGAAAACAAAAATTACAGTAAAAAAAAATTGAGAGGAAACAATTGCTTGAATTTCTGCTCTGAGAAACCATTCTGTGTAAAATACTGCAGAGAAGGCCATATCTTTGATTTCTTTCTTCTCATGGGCTTTGAGTTTGGAAATTTTCTTCATTAGAAGAAACATCTTTAGAAATTATATTTCTTTCAGGTTTTCGTTGACTGTACTCCAGATAGAACCATTACTGTGAGTTCCACTAACTCAAGGTAATCACACCTACATCCATTTTAACTATAAATACTTATTTTTATAAAAAGCAATTAAATAAATTGAATGTTTACATTGTGATTTCACTTTTAGCAACATCTAAAAAAGCTATAAAAAAACTAAGATTTATTCTTTACATTTTTAGTTTGATATCTAATACTTATCATTTGTATATTGTGCAAAGCGCCAGGAGCTATTAAATAAGTTATCATTCGAAGCTATGATTTACCTAATAATGGACTTTAATTTTTTAAACAGCTATTTAAACTACTTTCAACAACGTTAAAATTAATTACAAAATTTTAAATACTGACCTTCTTTTCTACCTTTATAACATTTCAGAGATCTCCAAAGCTTTCTTGAATTGATCCTGCAACCAGTTTTCAGTAGTATCCTTAATCTTGATTCTGTTTAGTACAGTAGAATCATGATCAAGGGTTCCAAACAAGCTTAGGGGTTGTTTTTTTTTTTACCATTTGATTATATATATATATATATATATATATATAT